TTTTTTTTTGTTTTTTTTTAAATATTGAAGCCACTCTAAATAATAATCCGTTTTTGGTTCCCAACCCTACTGATGTGTATAATTAGTATATACTGATATGTAGTACTGATTTTTATATTTTTATGTTTTTGAAAGAAGTCTTTGCTCACCAAGGTGCTGCAATTATTTGATCAAAAATATAGTAAACCATATTGTGAACCATATTTCACCAGTCTTCAGTGTCACTTGATCTTTCAGAAATCATTCTAATGTGCTAAATTGGTGCTCAAGAAAGATTTCTTATTATTATTATTGATGTTGCAAACAGTTGTTCAAAAGAACAGCATTTATTTGAGATATACATTTTTGTAGTAATGTAAATGTCTTGACTGCCACTTTGGATCAATTTAATGCATTCTCACCGAATAAAAGTTAATTTCTTTCAAGAAAAAAAAAATCTTAACTGACCCCAAACTTTTGAATGGTAGTGTAAATAGACAAATGGGTGGTCACTGTAGTTTGCGTATGTTATTTTAGTTTTTTTGAGCATTCATCAGTTGTACTGGCCACAGTTGAGTGTTAGTAACAGGTTTTCAGATTTTTGTTGTTGTTGTTATTTTAATTTTGTGTGAGACTTCAATATGCACATATTGTGAGTGTTGTTTGCCTCAATGTAGCATGTCGTCTGTTATGTTCAGGCCTTTCATGATTGGAATGGTCATATATCATATTACTGGGATATGGTGGACGTTGACATTCTGTATCACACATGCTGCATGTGTGTACATTGGATATTTTGAAGTGCATGGCATGTTTGGATGTGTTGGGAGTAAGCATGCTTTTTCCAGTGGGTGCATAAAGATTTCTGGTACAGCTCTTTGTGTCGTTTGAGATATGAACTGATGTCCTTTGTGGATGTGTGTATGGATGGATGAATGTGTGTGCTCAGGAGTATCTCAAACTCTCTGATGTATATAAGATGTATGGAAACGGATGTATCCCCGCCCAGACTGCCTTCCCTAACGCTCTTTGTCTACCGCTGGCTGTAACATCAGACACACCTCGTGAGGTATGACTCCTCCACTCACTCTTTCATCCATGACAGAATCTTTTTCCTTGCCTCACCACCTCCCGTTTCTCTTTCCAATGCCATTTATTCCTAGTTTGTGGCTTTTCTTTTTATGATGCTGTCAGAATAACCCACTGGCTGTCTTCTCTTGAAACTGTTATTTTTCATATCTTCCCAACTCTGTTTCCAGCTGTCTTTGTTGTTGTTGTATCATCTGCCTTTGCTATGCCAGCTTTATGCTTTTGTATACTTAAAATGCCCTCATTACATTTTGTGTTTGTGTGTGATGGTTTGATTGTATCAAGGAGTATGTGACAGTCAGTCAGTTAAACCAGCTTTTCGGGATGCCCAAAGTTGACCCCTCCCCCACATCTTCAGTCCAGTCATTCCAAGCTATTGTCGCTGACCCTGTCAACTCCAGCCACACATCCCAGTGTGACTCCACCCAGTCACTTCATGTTGAGGTGTGTATTTCCTGTTGTCGAGGTGTTCAACAGATCTGGCTTGTTCTTTTTGAATGTTTGAATAATGTGGGATTCCAAGCTTTTTAGTTCTGTGGTTTCATGAGATATACTTTGAATTTCTGATCTAAATACCACTCCATACTTTCAATGCATGTATCTCTTCTTTCCTTGCTGTATCAATTTTTCCTCTCTTTTCTCATCCATCCTCCCTTTACCTGGACTGCACTTCAAACCCAGCCTGCATGGATTAGGCCTTCAATCCCCAGGTTAGATTCAGAGCACTGGTACCAGGAAATTATGGCAGCTGGGGAGCCTAGTCATGCCTCTCCTCCCCCTCTGCCAGCTAAGTGTATCTCCTCACGTAAACCTATGCAGGTAAACTCTCATCATTTCTCTGTCCTTAAGTTATCTGTCCTTAGTGTACCTTGTGTTTTGAATCTCACAGGAAATAATTGCCACTTTAAAAAAATGACATGAAAAGCAGTACTTTTACGTTAAGCACTTGAGGTTCGGTCTTTGTTGCCGGGTTTAGTTGTTTTGGTGTGGTCTTCTTCCTTGCTGTGGGGGCAAGTTGCCATAATTGTAATTTTGGATGGAGAGTATGAATAAATGAGGGATGAATAACACTGAGATGTTTTGTTGTCAGATCTATAAGCAGGACGGTGAGCTGGGACAGACCAATGGCACCTTTACACCCCCGCCTTCCAGCATGACTACATCAGGAAGAAACACACCCACCAAAGTAAGACAGTTTAAACAATAACCTCTGACCGTCAAAAACACTCTTTTTGTTGTTGTTGTTGTAAAGAGGCATTATACTGCAATATACTGTCTGCATTTTTGAAGACAACTTTTGCAGTACAGAGAGCAAAAGTAGAAGTATTTTTCCCTTAGAAAAAAATCCCCGATTAAAAAGAGTTATTAGCGATGAACCAATCCAACCAGCAATGAGGTGAATCACAACATTGTAGACCTTACAGTATTTGAAAACTGGACAAAACACCAAGGTACAAGACTTGATTTGAATAGGTTCAACTACAAAAAAAAAACCCACTGTTGCTCCATTATAACTGTGCAAATGTTTTCAGATGCGTCACTTTTTATGTATCTCCTTTTATATCTTCAGAGTCTCCCAGATCTGTCTCCTGCTTATTTGGATTTAGACTCCAAGAGACAGTTGGATCAACAGGGCAGAGGTAGCCCATCATTTATTATTATTATTTGTAAACAGTGTGTGTTGAATAATTGAAGTTGCAGCACCATGATCTTCTCCGGATGTATTTTTCTAGGGCTCTATACATGTGATGATTCCAGAATCAGGCCTACGGATCCTAAACAGAGCCACTGGGGGGCACCACAGGTCTCACACTCCCCTTTCCCACCTTCAGGTGCTCCCATGGTACACCACTCCATTCTGCACCACCACGCACCCCCAGCTGGAGAGTCAATGTATGACACTCTGAGTTTGGAGAGCTCTGACAGCGTGGAGACCAGCGTATCTACCGGCAACAACTCTGCCTGTTCACCTGAAAGGTGAGGCAGTTGTCAAGGGAACCCTTCGTTCTACTTCCATTCCCCTGACAACGGGTCACGCTGCCCAATTTCCCCATAAATGTTTTTTTTTTAAATCCTTTTCCCAGAATAGTTCCTGGGTTGTTTCCGTGACAACACATACATCCATACAAAGAGACATGCTATTCTTCTCTTCTTCAAAGTTTGGTCTTGTCCCGAGGCAGAACGAGCACAGAATGTCATTTTAAAGTATGCACTCCTTGGCGCCAGGGAGGCTTCAGGTGTTTTTTATCAGATGCTGAAGTCATGAAAAGACATTCTCTTGATGTTGCCCTACTTTTCAGCATCGATAGTCTGGACAAGAATCTTTGACCACGAATTCTTACATTTTCGGTTAGATTTTTCAGCAGTTTTAAACTCCTACAGCCCTCCTCACCCTCGATCAACATTTTCCTTTGAGCTGGTAAAGGAGCCCCATCAAAAAAGCATGTAGGTCCTCACTTAAAAGTGAAACAGAAAAAATCACATACTCCTGACCCAGCAGGAAGGAGCATGATGCACATGATTTTTAGCATCTTGCTACTTTATCAAGTTGTAGTTTTTAAAAAGTCATATTTAGACATTTTACCAAATGCAAATGTGTATAAATGATTTCTGCAGTTTTAAGCAAACTAACTGTGCTACATTAAATACACAATGCTGTTCAAAAGGGACAGTAAACACTTTTAAATGGATTTTTTTCAGGATATTTTTGATGAATTGAAAGTACAGAAGATTTTTTTCTATCTATCACAATTTTCACAAAAATATTAAAGGGGTCATATGATGCTGCTAAAAAGAACA